AAGTTCGCTAAAATTTTTCCCCAACTCATGAGTTTTCTTTTCACTGTGTTGGTAATTTCTTTTGATGTGCAAAAACTTTTCAATAGCATGAGAGACCCAGAATAGCAAAAGCAATCCTGGGCCCAAAGGTAAGGCAGGAGGCATCATAACCCCTGACTTGAAAGTATACTGCAAAGCTACTATGATAAAATCAGCATGGTATAGGCAAAAGCAAAGACCTGAGGATCAGTGGAACAGACTAGACGATGCAGGCCCAACCACAAACACACTAAGCTACCTTATCTTTGACAAAGGGGCCAATTATGTTCACTGGAAGAAAGATAGCCTCTTTAATAAATGGTGCTGGAAAAACTGACTCTCCGCATGATGAAGGCTAAATCTAGACCCATATCTATCACCATGCACTAAACTAAAGTCAAAATGGATCAAAGATCTAAATTTTAAAATAGAAACACTAAATCTAATGGAAGAGAAAGTAGGTAGAAATCTTGAAGACAGAGTAGGCAGAGAATTCATGAACAAAAACCAAACTACACAGGAAATACTTAAAAGAATCAGCAGCTAGGATCACAGCTTAGTGATTTATTTTTGAGCATTGTGATACATCAAGATTTAGTTCAAACTCTATGTCTTTACAGAAGTCTACAGGAGATTCTTAAAAAGTAAAAAAGTGCCAAGGAAAGACAAAGGAAATTTAAATTTGCATGCACTCAGACAACTCAAGATGCATGGTAGGAGTTGATCAATCATTGTTTCACAGTCAGTGTTGAGAATGAAAGAGGATGTTTGAAATATGTAATTTTCAAAAATATGTGTGCATTGACCAAATATTGTTTTATTGTTGGACTTTAAAAGGTTATACATAAAATAATTTTAATAAAATTACTTTCAAAATTTTAAAAATAACACAGTTTACATACATTAAAAAATCCTTCCACTTTCTGTGACTCATTTGAACACTATACAGTAACATAAACAGAATAATTATTCTTGTTCATTTTCATATGTTTTAATTTGAATATTGGCTAAATCTCTCCAAAACATTATGTCCCTCGTACTTTGCTGATGAATGTTTCTTAATTTTTTAAAAAAATCTAATTGCTTGCAATCTTCATCAGAGCTTCATTTCACATTTTCTTGTTTTATAAGCTTGTTATATAAATTCACAAAATTTGAAAATATTCTCATGTTCAATTAACTCTGACCATGATATGCTATTTTTATTGAGAAAAAAAAAATTCGTTACAAATGCTGAGGTACGTGGAAAATTTAGAGCAAATTCTGCCAACTGGTTAGTCTCACTATGACTGCTCATATTTTAATGTTAAATACTTGTGTACAAATATTACAGTCACCTTTTGTTATTTAATTCATACTGTCCTTGTCTGAAAATATTTTTGCCAAAACTTATCATTTTGTCTTTATCATTTCTTTAAAATATTTACCAATTTTAGACACCACAAAACTATAGTTTTCTAAACATCATGAAATTCCTCTGTAGATTATAACTGTACCCATGAAAAATTGTTCCTACAGTAAATTATTTCCACGAATTGAGACATTTAAAAACTCATTAAAAATGCCAACTAAATGCTGGGAAATTTTTGAACCTATCACATTATTGTGTTGAGGTTCATTTGTTCTGTTCTTTCTTTGTTGTTGTAAGGGTATGGTTTTTAATTTCTGTTTTATGTGCTTTATTTTCAACGCCCTAAGCCCTGCCCCCATAGACTAAACCCCATAGACCAGATTGCTTTGGTTAATTATTTATAAAATAATTCTTAATTCTCTATTTTATTTTAAAAGATGTTAAACAATTATAGTATTTATTTTATGGAAGAAAAAGTTCAATACCAGTTAACAGAAGTATGCCTGCAGTAATTTCCAAAGCAGTTCTTGAAAAGCCAGCATATTTCTGAAAATTGATATAAAGGCAACTTTTCATGACTTGCCCCCAAATTTCAATTGAAAATAAATGAAATTAATTTAAAAGAATAAGAAAAACAAATATTTTGCTTTTAATTAAATTACTTCCCAAATACTTCACATTGATTCCATAGGTTGGTCGGAAAAAAAAATCAAACTATTACTGGGACTAACTGATTTTTTTTTGGTTCCTGTTCTTTTTTTAATTCTACATGTTTGCAGTATATAGTGTTTACATTTCCCTTCTAAGTATCTTCCCCAAAATGTTAAAGACATCATGATGCAATGATCCACTCATACCTGCAATTTTAGCAGTGTGACTCATAGTATCTTTTTTTTTTTTTTTTTTTTTTTTTTTTTTTGGTTTTTCTCCAGTACCAGGAACCGAACTCATGACCTTGTGCTTGCCAGGCAGGCGCTTTGCCGCTGAGCTAAATCCCCAGCCCCTAGTATCCAATAAATAAGTATTTTTTAACTCCTGGTAACTGATATCTTGAAATTTCAACACAGACAGTCAGGATTTAGAGTGAGGAATTCCCTTTTGTAAAGCAGTCCTTCTCAAAGTCTGGCCCCAGACCAGCAGAAAGGATTGAAACTTGCTAGGCACACAAAATCCCAGGCCAGACCTCCAAAATCAGGGGTTTGGGAGTCTCTGTACATGTCCTCATGGTGCCCTGGGTATGCTCAACCTTGAGAACAAGTGTCAGGAAGTGCAGTTGAAGGCCACTTTCTGTACATCTATATTTATTCTCTAAATGCAAATTAGTTTTAAAGTTCACCTAAGGTAAAAAGTATTATATAGAGGAAAAAAATGTCAAGTAAATATCTACTATAAAAGAGACTTAGCTACTCTACTGAATAACCCTGCCTATCATTGCATAAATAACTAATAAGCTGAATTCATGTATGACTATAGCTAATTGTGTTTAAAAAACTAAAACTTAAAGGATGGCAAAATATCAGTTAATTAAATGCATGAGATATGGTATACAATTCCGAGAAAGGTATGAAGTCAACATAATATTAAGCTAATAGCATGACAGACAATTAGCAAAATGTTGATTCTAGTGTCATTTTTATTATACACCATGGCCTCATGGCATTTAAATTGAAATATTATGGCTTTTTAAAATAGCATTCTTAATAAATGACTTTAGTTGGTGTATCGTTGGATACAAATAATTCACTTTTCAGTAACAGGGTGTACTGAATGCTGCAGTTATGGCAAAGCTCATTTTCTTTTATTTGGTCTCATTTTTAATCACATGTTTATAAAAGAAGAACCAGAGTGGTAGACCTTTTAGTGGAAGTGGGTGCAGGAATTAGGGTATTCTACTATTCGTCTTTCCTCCGGGGTGCTCAGGTCCTTTCCCAGTATGGACTCTCTGAGGGCTTTGCGAGATAGAAAGATGCAGACTCTTCCTGCAAGTGGCAAACCAAAGGACGTGGAGCAACACAGGTCTGGAAGCGAAAGCTGAGGATGGCTGGGCCTGAACTCCCCAACGACAGGGGCCTCGGGCCTAGGGGTGACTGGGCCACAAAAAGGAGAAAAACTTTTCTGTCTCATCAACTGGATTGGTTTCTTCCTTCTGGGCCGTGTGAGTGTGTGTGTTCATGTGTGCGTGTGTGTGTGCGTGTGTCTGCGTGCTTGTATCTTGTGCTTTAGCTTTGAGTTATACATTCTAGGGAAGCGTATCACAGATTGGGTGAATCATGAATCTGCAACTGTTTATGCCAAAGTAAGCAGTGATCACATGGAGACCAATACCATACATACATCCGTACATACATAACTATGTTTATATGAAAGGTTCGTCCACCTCATCTCCTTTCTACAACAGCATGGCATGCATCTCTCTTAGGTTATATATTATGTAATACAGCCATTTGTTTCCCAATAAACGAAACAAAAATAAAAAGCCACTCCATACACACACACACACACACACACACACACACACGTATGCACACATAAATTGGCAGTACTTAGCAATGCTGGGGATTAAACAAAGGGCCTTTGCATTGAGCAATCTACAAACCCTGTTTTTATTTCATATTTTGAGACAGATTGTCAGTAAGTAACTGAGTGGTGCAGGGTGGGTTTGAATTTTTGATCCTCTTGACTCAGCCTCCCGGAGTTCTGGGAATAAAGAATTGTGCCCATGCCTGGCTTGTCCCTATAATTTGTATTCTGCTCTCTGGTGTCAGGCCGTGTCACTAAAGCAACACAACTGTGCTTCTTGTAAACTGTGACCACGTCAGATTGAAGATGTTTAGCAGGACCAGGAGTGAACGTTCTCAAACCCCACCTCACTTTCCTGCTCTAAACATGAAAGTATTCTAAGCACTCGCTGAGCTCCTCCTTCCTCAAATTCAGATGTTTAGGCTTAAAATGAGGAAGGCTCTTTTGTAACTGGAAAATCTTTGAAGAGAATTACTTGGCTTCTCTTATCTCCTGCACTTGAACATATGTGTGGGTTGTGTTTCCTTAACCATCAGTCCATCCTTTCAAGAGTGTAAAAACATCTGTCAAACATCAGCTACACATGGGTCATTGAACATCAGTGATCAACACTCATGATTATCAAGTTTTACTCTGAATTGCTTCAAGTTGCACAGAATTTACACTGGGAACAGCAACAAATAACGAACTTCCATCTGGCCAAAGCCTACTATAATATTTATCTACTTGTTCCAAAACAAAAAAAAAAAAATGAAAAAGAACATGAGAATCTTCATTTTAAAGTGCTCCACTCAATGTCCAGAAGTACCTATGAGAAGCCATGGACATTCTTTGAATTCAAGTTTCTGCTGTCCTCTAATTCTATGTTATTTAAGCTTTTGTGTGTGTTTGTTTTGAGTGAATTAGTCACAGCTACCCACACATAAGATTCTAGGACTTACTTTTTTTTGGAGGTGATTAAGATCAAGCTTTTCCCTTTCTCAAGCTATTGGATAACTGTGAGAATTCTGAAATTTAGGAAACTTAGGCTTTTGATCTGGATAGCTAAAATGGTAAAAAAAAAAAAAAAAAGTACATAAAAGATAATCGTTATGCACAATATGCTTTTCACGTCCTCCTCTAAAATGGGTGTTTAAAAGTGGGGAGTTGCATGCTCTACTGTGAAAGTTAGAGGAGAAAGTACCAAATTTATATTTTGAAATTGATAGCAGGGGTGAGTTATGAATCCATATTTTTTCTGTTTCTGGAACACTGTGGGGCTGGCAGAAGAAGAATGAATAAATATCAGTCAAGTTCCTGGGTAACAGGATTGATTATAGAATGGCATTATCCACTCCTGTGTGAGCCACTTTTCAGCACGACACCATTTCCATCACCAGCCTTGCATGCCAATTTCTGGGTTATTTGTAGGACGTTAGAATTTCTATAAACAGCAAGATGAAGCACAGAAGTAACTGCTGTTTCCCTTCCTCCTGTGATCCCACGTCAATTCAGCTTGGGCTAAGACTTAGGTCCTGAGGCATGAAGCTGGGAACAGTCACAGGTGAATGGACGCAGCAGACATGGAGGAAAGAGATGAACCCAAGACTGTGTCCCTAGGGAGCTCCTAGGAAGCCATCTGTTGATACCAAGTACTGGTCAGCTGTGGAGAGAAATGCAGGAAGACTGGAGAACATGGCAGCGAAGCAAAAGTACCATGCTAGGTGCTGGCCTTCCAGCATGGAGCTGTGCGTGGGAGCCATTTTGGTTGGTTGACATCATGTGCGTGTCACGGTCATCTCAATGTATGTGGGCAGTAGCTTGTAAGTGAATGACCCTGAGAGCTGTGGAGGTCCTCCCACACTTGCTTGGCATTTTATCACCCCAGATTTCCTTGTGTGTATTAGGCTATACTGAACACAGGCGGGGTCCCGTAGAATCTCTCAGTAATTTCCCCCTTTCTGTATCTCTCAGGTTTAGGGAAATGAAGGAAATGTAACAGAGGGAGAAGGCGTTCAACTACTGGCACTGCTGAAAGGCAGCAGGAAATGTCATTGTGGGGATGAGCCCGTGGCCGTCCCGCAGTGCTCCTCCTTGGCACTACCCTGGTGGGGTGTTGGGCTCAGGACTCAGAGCCAGCACGTACGTGTTCCTGGCAGAGGGGCCACGCAAACCAAACCCTGATCCAGTATGGCAGCTTCCACGAGCTACCTGGCTTTACTGGCTGCCATAATCTTATAGTCTGATTAATATCGCTCAGTCAGTACTGATAATTTCTTCATTTGTTATCTTTACCCAGAACTCTATCACTCACACACAACATCATGCTCATATAGTTCACAGTCATGAACAAATGTCAGAGATTCAGTCTGTAGCGCTAGGAGACTCACAGGTAGCCACCACAAAGTGCCATGTGAGGCAGAATCTTCCGGGCATGCCCTGGGCATTTCTAGGAGGTTCTCCACCTCTGCCTCCTGTGTCTGTGATCTCCGTGAGGCTGCTATGGACTCCAGTGTTGGGAACACCTGGGACTCTATAGTCACCCCAGGTCTGACCAAATAATCAGCAGTCAGCTCAACAACTGGCTGGGCAAGTAAACATAAATCCTTAAAGATTTATCAGTGGAATTGATATAGTCAGTGGGATCTACAAGATTACCTCAGGCTTAGAAAGTCACAAACTACTGCTACAGGCAGAAAACTGACCAACATTTGCACATCAGACTGATTTTCCTGCCCTAACAATCATAGACATCTTTGAGAAGTAACATTCTCCTTCCAAATGCAGCTCTGCAAGCTTCATTCATTTCAGGGGTGCTGTCTATTTCTGTATCTCTCCTAGCAGCCAGCATGTTAAATAGAAGGTTAAAAGATGTTGATTGATTTAACGGAGCGTGGCATCTTTGGGTCCCCACTGCCACGTCCACTTGCCTCATTTGGCTAGCTGTAGCAAAATCTTCCTGTTGCTGCAGTTGTCCCCCCTTTACCTGCTCTTGCCCATTGGTTTTCCTCCCACAGCTGCTTCTGGAAGCCCTGCTGGCCAGCAGCTCAAGCCTCACACCTTCCATCTCTTACCAATGCCCCATCCTCCATAACTGTTTCAGTCTCTTTTCACCTTTGAGAATCTTACATTAGTGTAGGTATTTTCATGAGAAAAACAATCTCAACAGTGGAACTCACCCTGAAGAAGCTTCAATAATGTCTGCATGGTATCAGATCTGTGCAGGCCCATCTGTATTTTAAAAATAAGTAGTTTAAGGAAACACTTCACTGATGAATTTAGACTATGCAATATCACCAACCTTGGTACCTGGTCATCAGATTGTCTACATACTGGTCTAGGAGGACCTCAGTTTATACCTTGGTCTTAGCTTGACTAATAATAGAACCCTCTTCCACTCTTAAAAGCATCCCAATTTGAATGATATACCAATTGGTCAAACTATGTATATTCTACACATTTACAAGTGCAGTGTTGACAGCAGCCTACCTGGACATGCTCAGATCCTTAAGGTTTTCTTCAGTATACTACTTCTTCCCTACCAGTGCTGGTCTAAGAGTTGTAGAAATATCTCCCAGTATGATTTAGATAAGTTACTGAACTAGTGACTTCTAGTAAAATGGAGATTACTGTTTTTAATTAATACCTTCCTATGAGCATGCACTAAAATAGCAACCTACAAGACTGAATGCCAACCAGGAAAAGGGTGATACAACTTATTAACATACTGCAAACTTGAGAAGTCTCTTTGGTGCTAGCACTGTGCTTATGTTACATTAGCACAAAATTTCCTACACATGGGACTGAGATTACCCAATTCCTACTTGCTTTGACTCTGCTTTCCCTATATTTATAATGCAGAAATTTATGTTTCATTGCTTTCATCAAATATGTCAGAAAGAGCCTCATCTTTGTTTCTTTATTATTGTTGATCATCAGACCTCTAGGGAGAAAAATGAAATATTTTATGCTGGAATTTTAAATTTCTATGATTAACCTAATTGAAATATGCTTTTGTATAGAGATAAAGTTTTGTCATGAGAATGAAGCAATCCTACCCACTCATCTTGCCCAAATTCCATTGTTAATTTTTCTGAGATAATTTTTGGAGAATTATTTTCTTCATTATGATTAGTTTAATCATTAAAATTACTCCTAGTTGATGCAAAAATCAACAACATTCCTACCTTTTCTTTATTTAAATTGAGTTATTTCATTACAATCTCCTCTGCTATTTCTCTCTGCTGGGGAAAGGAAGCCATTCAGAAACTGAGGGAGGAAAGGGACCCTTAGGTCACAAAGAAAATTCCTTGTTCCACACTCACCACAAAGACCTTTTTGTTTCCTCAGTGCTTACATCAAGTATAGAAGTTTGAGGAATTCTCATGAAGCCAAACGACTCAGATGACCTAGATGGGTAGAAAATTAACCTCTTCTTTCTGTTCTCCTTCCTTCTCTTCACCCTGAATAAAATGCTCACATTTGAAAATAATTCTAGAATGTTTGATAGCTGGAAAAAAAATAAATTGAAATCAAAGGATTTTCTTTTGTATGTAACAGTTTATGATAATTAAAGTGTTTGAATGAACTTTAACTCTCTTTGATGACTTATGGATTAGCTTTCTATCACTATAACAAAATACCCCTGGTAATCAGCTCATACAGAAAGGTTTTGTTTTGCTTTCGGAGGGTCCAGTTCATGGATGTTTGGCTCATTTTTTGGATCTGTGAAGAACCAGTGCTTCATCGCAGCAATACAGGCAGAGCAAAACCCCTCACCACAGGGCTGAGAAGGAAGAGGAAGTGAGAGGTGACCAGGGGCCCACAGTCCTCAGAAAATCCAACCTCCAATGACCTAAAGAGCTCCCATGAGGCTCTGCCTCCCAAAGGCACTGCCGCTCCCCATGGAGCCTCTCTGGGAATCCAGCCTTGAGCACGTGGGCACTCACTGTCATGCGAGGTCCAAGTGACAGCAGATTACTTAGTCATCATGGATAACGGAAGTTTATTTTTCACCCTCTTCCTTCTTTCCATCTCTTCCTTTTCTCTTCTGGGCTTTGCTACTCTGCCATGCACTGGCATCCTCTCTGTTCCTGAAATGAGTCACTACTTATCCCTTTAAAGCAGTCCTTGCCCGCCCCCCTCAGGAGCCCTGAACTCCTCCATGGTCCCTGTTTCAGCTTTGTAGATGAGGATCCTGAACCTAATCCTATTCAGCATGGTCCAAGTGTCCAACCCAGTTGTTGCTGCTTCTGAAGCGAAGCTCCCAACGCCACATGCGGACTTTGGAAGGAAGCAGCGGCCACCTGCTTGTGTGATGCTCCTCAACCCATTAGCTCCAGTTTTCCAGAGAGGGTGGTAAGGCCATGTTACTACTGGGGATAACACTTATTTGGAGAAAGAAATTTTTCCTTTTCTTTTTCTTTCTTTTTTCATGGTGCTAAGGGTTGAACTTTCTATTCTCCTTTGGTGATTTCTAAATCTCACCTGGCCCCCTAAAAGTCTTTGCCTCAAATATAGGAAAAGGGGACTTGAGCAAGGTAACATAGAGATATAGGGAGGCTTGGTGTCTTCCTTATCCCTGGAAAATCTTCACCCTGTGAACCTCTCTGACCACATCTGAGAATAAAACCCAGCACCCTTGCTTCAGGGCCCAGCTCTATCACACTCTGACAGGAAGCAGCTGGGGGCAGGAGAGGGCAGCATAGGGTGTGTCCCCAGAAAGGTTTAGATCCCATGAAGTGGAGCAGCTGAAGGGATGGAGGAGCATGCAAAGAGACTGAACGTTGTGCTGACATCTGAAAACTGAGGAGGGACACGGCCAGCCAGGCAAGCTACTGAGGTGCTGGCAGGGGTGGAGGCCAGAGGCAGAAAACCCAGGACCAGAAAGGGAAGAGGCTCTGGGGCTCCCTGCTGCACTCCAGGGCAGAAAGAGTCCCTTCCACATAGCCTGCCCTGCCTGCAAGTAACAAGCTAGAGGTCAGCAAGGGACAGACTGCACAGCAAGGGAAGACACAGCCCAGGACAACAGGGAGGGCACAGCCTGACGTGCAGGTGAAGTCTGGCAGCTGTTATTGTCATGCTGGACTGGGGATTTTAGCTCCTGACCTGAGACTATGTCTTCCAGTGAGAAAGTGTGCAGAGCCCTTCTCTGTGGACTGAGAGTTCTCTATGAGCTCCGTCCTGGACAGTGTCTGAGGGGGGGGGGGAGCCCCTCATCTGGCGGAGCTGTGAGGACTGAGAAGTGGGGGGTGCAGTGCCTTCGGAAGCTGTGCCCAGATGCCCCACCTGTCCAGGATCAAGGATGCATCAGTGTTGGCCATCTTTCCTCAAACTGTCATTCCCAGAATGGATACTGACCCACGGCACAGGCCAGATACTCAATGAGTTGTTTGAAGGGATGCTGAAGACAGCGACCTGTTTGTCCTTCCACTCTCCATGATAGCCTCTGTAACTGTTATTGCCAGTAGCACCATGGTCTGACTACATGTCCTGGGTGGTGTTCTTCCCAGATGCATGCAGGGGCAGTTTTACAAGAGCTCTGTGGCTGTCATAGCTTCGTGAAACCCACTAGAGTCCTGGCTGCCCTCTTCCTGTCATGGTTCCCTGACTTTCTGCAGCTTCGCCCTGACTTTCATCTGCAAGATGGCAGCATTGTTTGGAGTGAATTATCCTGCATAGATGCCAACAAGTCCAATAATTAGCCTCCTCTCAGATAAGTCCTAATGCCACTATCTTATGCATACTACTGAATATGTGATAGGGGTCTAACTATGTTTTGCATCTTATTTACAACCAAAATATAGTACTTAATTCAGGAATTCAAAAGATCGTTAGCTTCTCTATGTTAATTTGTGTTGCCGGTTAAAAGGGAACACACTCTGAATTGTACACAAAGGACTGTATTTTATTACCAAAGTGAGTCAACCAAAAATTTCTCCCAGAAGTTATGAGTTAAGAATAGTTATATTTTTAAAAACTCAAACCTAAAGGTCTCATTCTCATGTTTAAACATCTGACAAGACATGTTTTAGAAGCAGTAATTAAGTCATAATTGGGCTGTTAAATCCAAGTTCTTTAATTTTTTGCAGCAACTGTCACATCAATTACATATATAGTAAAAATTTAGTTCCTTGAAATGATTTATTCTTTCCATAAGTTTTAATTGGACAGTGCTATGTGCCAAGCACCATTCTAGTAAGGTAAGTGATGCCTCTGTAAACAAAGAAGATATAATTCAGCCTTCAAGGGCTTGTATTTATGTGGGCTATGGGTACAATAAATCACAAAGTCATAAAAAGCTAAGTTAGGTAGCATGTGTGCCGATTCCCTAAGGCCAACATAACAAAGTGTCACAATCTGAGTGGCTTTAACAGAAGAAATTTTTTTTCTCATATTCCTGGAGCCTGGAAGTTTGAGATCAAAGTGTCAGAGAGCTCGCTCTTTGAATGACACTCAGGCCAATGTCATCATTGTAGTTGTCCTGTGTCCCCCCTCTGCTGTGTCACACCATCACCTTCCAATACACGTATCTAATTTTACCTTGCTTTTTATGTTTTTGTTTACTGTTGTGTTTTGTTCCTCTGGTACTGGGGACTAAACCTAAGGTCTTCACATTAAGCTACATCCCCAACTCTCTTTGGGGTCTTTTTTCTTGAGATAGGGTTTTGCATTGCAGTGTAGGCTGGCCTTGAGCTCACTTTGTATCCCAGGCTGGCCTTGAACTCACAACAATCCTCCTGCCTCAGCCTCCTGAGTGCTGAGATTACAGGTGTGCACCACCATGCCCAGCCCCCAACTCTTTTTTAAATTTTATTTTGAGATAAGGTTTGGCTAAGTTGCTAAGTTGCCCATGCTGGGCTCAAACTTGCAATCCTGCTGTTTCACTTCTCAGATGCCAACTTGTGGCACTATGTCTGGATCTTTCCTCCATTTTATAAGGACATCAACTCTATTGATTAGGTGGCACCTCAGTGGTTCATTTTAAACTTGATTACCTCTATAAAGACCCTGTGTCCAAGTAAGGTCACTGTTATGGTTGATACATTGTGTCAACTTGGGGAGTCTAGAGGTTTGGCTAAGTAACTCAGCAGGAAGGCAGGATACTTACTTTGTATATATCCTGAGCCTGTTGCAGAGGAGGGCATGGAGATTATGTGAAAGCTACACGCCCCTTAGGTGGGGGTAGTCTGTTTACAAAGTAAGGCAGGGAAAAAGAAGCTGCTTGCCGCCATTCCTCCGGTTTGCTCTGGCTGTTTGCTGTTCGGCTGCCATTCCCCCCTTTGCTCTTGTTGGTTTGCTACCTTCTGCCTCGGAGCCAGCCAAGTATGAACTGAAACCTCCACAAACTGTAAGCGAAATAAACCTTTCCTTCCTTCATTTTCGGCGTTGGGTATTTTGTCTCAGCAACAAGAGAAAAGTAACCAAGCCAGTCACGTTCTGATGTCCTTCAGGATTAGGTGTCAAAATATCTCTTTCAGGGATGCAGTTCAGCCCTGAGGGTGTGTTACACTGTGTCAAGTACCTTGGATAGGTCCCTGGCTAGACCTGAGCCAAATGCAGTGTCAGAGGAGCTACCTATGACATGGTGGTCATGAGGCATGTTCCCAGCTACCTGCTGCTTCCCTGTCCCTGAAAGTCAAGTAGCAGGAGAAGCATGACCTCCCTCATGGTGGTGGGTGGTAGCCTTATCCATCTCTGATACTTGAGTATTGCATTCTGCTGACAGGTCCTTGTGTCATAGGACAGGTAGCAGTTTAAAGATACATAGAGCTCTAACCAGTTAAAGAAGAGTTCACACGAATGTTTATTGTAGCACATGCTAGAACTGTGGGTCTTTAGCTCAACAGTTCTCTCATTTTTTTCTCCTACCTTGGGAAAGTATGCTATCCTGGCCAGGCTAGGGCAAAGCTTGCTTGCTTCCTGAACTGCAGCAGGTGACAGGCTGTGATTTCAGGCCTCTTGTTTATTATGGAAAGTTTCCTTTCTAAAGGGCCCCAAAAGCCATTCTTCCCAGTTCTTAGTCTTTGGAAAAGAGCTAATGTTGAGACAGTCATGTGGATTAGAAATAGCACTGTCTTACCTGATCACGTTCCTAGTCCACCCTAGTTTTGCAGTTTTCAAAGGCATTGAGAAGAAAGCTCTTGGCATAGAGCTTTGAACAATAGAGATTTCTAAGCTTTTATTTCTTGGTCAATAGAAGTATTCTGCATAATGCAATATACATGATGGCTTTTCTCTCGCATGAGATCAGAGTTGCCAAAAATCTATTTTGAG